GACTGAGTTTGTAAAATTATAGCTGCACATTCACCATAAAGCCACCCACTTCATAGCCTAGACTGTTGCAGAAACAGGATGAAGTGGAGAGTGTGGCAGGTATTTTTCTCTTGGACCTTGAAATATCAGTAACTTTATAAAATTTTCTTAAGAAATATTTGAAACAAGAAATCATCCTGGGGGTTATTAGTCTTGGCCTTTAGGGACAATTTATTTTTCTGCTTCACAAGTTTAACTTCTTTCTTGGATCATAATGCTGCTAAGACACATAAAAGGTCATTTTGTCAGGTCAACTGCAAATGGTGCTCTTACTACAGAAAAGTTATGTAAAAGAGGAAAAGAGAAGTAAGCGCATTAGCATATAAAATGCACCACAAAATGGAAAAGGAAATTTCAACTACATACTTATAAGATGACTCTTTCTTAAATCTTTTGTCCAAATGGATGACTTCCAAGAGCTCTGTGGCTTTACTTCAGTTTCTAATAGGCACTACTCATGCTGACCTTCAGGAAGTCCTTTATGAATGTTACTCACCCAAGTGTACAAAAATGCCAAACCACATGGGGCTTCTGGAATTATTTTTATTTTTTACTCTGTAAGGGCTGCATTTTGGACATTTTAATAATGGTCAAAGCATCCTAAGCCAACCTAGATGGCAACTGCTAGAAACATAGGAAGTGTTAAAAAAAATGAGTTGGCATAATTTCATTTTTTCCCTTTTTCTGATTAGAGTTTACAAATATAACTACTAGCTAGTTATCCTGGTGAGGATATGAGTCAGTCCTCCTCCAATAATATAAACTTCTTGATTCAGTTTTTGGACCATAAATCTACCATAACACTGTCAGTGTTTTGTTGTTATCAGTATCTTTATCTTTCTTTACCCCCTGCTATGAGAAATTTTATTTCTTCCATTGCCTACTGTAATTTATTGCTGGAAAAGCAATTGTTAGTAAGTAATGTGCTGAAGGATGGTGACTATATAAAAGAATGAGGGCAAGATCCCTGTGATAGAGTGTATGTGTGTGTGTGAGCACATGACGGAATGAGTGTCTAACGTGCATGCAAATGATATGTAGGTCTGAGAGCAATATTGTATCCTAATAGAGGTCAAGAAGCATGTATTGTTCATGGTTACATTCCCAGGAATTAACACTGTTCCTAGCACATACAAGATGTTTAAGAGTTTGTTGCATGAATGAATGAATGAATGAATGAATGAATGAATGAAGGAGGCTAAAACTTCATGTTCCATTGGTAAAACAAGGCTTCCAGTTTAAACAAGAGGCTGGCGATCCATCTACAACAGTCTGCTGTGTATCTAGTTGTCATGGGATGTTGTCTATATACACAGCATTATGGTAGGACTTGTGATAAAGGCAAGGCAATTGAACACACAGAACATGGACTTGAAGAGTTTCTAGTCTAGTGGGAGAGAGAAGATATATACAAGTGAAAACTTACAATTCTAGAGAGTGAATAATGGCATGCCAAATGTAATTTTTCATACTGAATACAACCACTACATGAGTTCAGAGAAATGAGAGGCTCCAAAGGACTAGCGTCATTAAGGAAAGCTACATAAACAAGGCAGGGATTGAGTTGGACCTTTGAGGATAAAAGAAAGAGGGAAAGGAGAGGAAATAGCTGTAGAGGATGGGGGGAGGAGAGTACAAATGAGCAGTCATCAAGATAAGAATAGATAGTTTGAGTCTTAAAATTTAGCAAGCAGTCATCAGACTTGGAAAAAGGAGAGGATGATAGAAACTTGCACAATAAGGAAGTAAATAAGCATACACATTTTGTACATTAAACACTTCATATCAAAACTCCTTGGTTTAAAATAAAAAGTAACGTTGAAACACATATATTTTAGGGCCCCGGCAGCATTCCCAGAGGCTAGTGAACAGCATGTGTCTTACAAGGGGGGAGCTGATGATGTATGACTTCAGAGGGGATGAGCAGGTAAGTGGGGCTTGGATAAGTCTTCAGATGAAAAATTCTTTGTTAAAGGGGCTTTTGAGTGCAACATAGATCTGACTCTTCCAAAGTCTTAGGGACTTTGTAGTTTTGTAGTTATTTAATTGGATCAATTTCAATTTATTTTATATATTTAAGGATACAAGAAAGTCAAAACTATGTGCACAAATGGCAGCAAAGCAGGACCAGGTACATAAAGAAAAAGTTTGGTATTTTGATTTTAGGCACTGAAAAAAAATTCATGCATCAATAAAATCATGGATAAGCATTAAGGGCCCAAAGGAGAAGCAATAATTGATAGAGATACAAAAATAAATGGGAGTCCTGCTTTTTCTAACTATGTCTAGGAATTGGTATAAGAAATCTTTATTACAGTTAATCATAGCCATGTGGATAAATTGTCCATATATTGTATTTACGTGTGAGAGTATGTAGAACAGAGTTGGTAAAAAATATTTAAGCTTTCAATAAATACTTTGGAAGTCACTTATATAGAAAACATTCAATAATGGAATATTGATTAAATAAAAAAAATAACTCTTGAGAATGTTTCCTAAATAAAGTATAACTACGCGTGGATGTACAATGAAGTTTCAAGCAACATTAATTATACCCTTTTGATGTCTCTACTGTCTTGTTCTAAAAAGCTAATAAGACCTGCACTACATCACAGTTAATGGGAGTGTGGTGCTTGTTGCTTAGGCAACAGGATGAATAAATGCAGGTCAGAATGTGCTTCAAGAAAAATAAAAGCTAGAATATGATACTGAGTGGAGACTAAACAGGTCTAACAAATTTTTCACCCCATTAATGAAATCTGTTTCTTAAAGTGTGCTGATTATATTGGTATACTTAACTAAATTCATAATTAAATAAGTTTGATTATGGAAATCAATCAATACATTTTGTAAATGTAGAAACTGATTTTTTATGACACTAGTAGTAAATAGTGTATAGCAGCAGATAAAGCAACAATTGATGACACCATTTTATGATTTGCTCAATTTTCATAATTAACTCCTCTAAATGATCAAAGTTTTAATTTTTTTAATTAATTGTCTCATGAAGAAGTATTTGACTTATTTGCATTAACTGTTTTCTAATTTTCTGGAAAATTATATATAAAACTTAGAATTGAAAAAATAAAGACAATAATCTATGGAGAAGCTCAAACCTTGGTTTTGTCACATATACCCAGGATTTTTGCCTCCCAGATACACTTTGGAATGCTTATACATAATTCATTCCTGAACGTTGTTTTAAGACCTCCAAATGCTTATTTGAAACTTGTTTAATTAACCTTTCAGTTTTAGGCTTTCAAAAAGGGGTTATATTTGCTCAAATGTGTTTAACATTCAGAGGAAAATTATGCTGAATTAAAATATTTGGAAGTAGCCAGAATCCAAAGACCTAACTTCTCATGGGATCAGAATAAATTTGGACAAGAGTATGAAGAATGGGAATGAGAAAGTCTTATCACAGGTAGAGTCAGAGAGAAAGAATAAAGACATCAAAATGTACAGTAAATATAAATAACGATGAAAAGATCTCCATCCTGTTTGATAGTTCCCCAAATGCTTAGTATTCTCTGTTTAGTGTCCTAAGCCTGTCCTAAATCTTCTCAGTGTCCTAAGACTGTCATAGCAACTGAAGACATTTCACTTTTTTTCCTGTTTCAATACCCACAATATCTTGTCAGTCTAATCAGTGACAGTTCTCTTTAACATGAGAAAAATAACAGTAGCTGCATATCCTATTATAAAAAACAGGTTCATAAAGAGTTCTGTGTATACAATTACTTCGAGCTCATACATCTTCTTACATTTATGTAGCTTTTTAAAAAAGCTCACGGAGGATACACTTTTTTTGGAAAAGAGGCAGAAGTTTAACAATTTGACCAATTTTTAAATCTATAATAGTCAAGTTAAGCTCAGAGAAAAGTCATCTCAAATGGAAATTAAAAAAAAACATAACTAGCTGTCATATTCTGTTACCAGTTCTCCTATGAATAAGCTTCAGATGTCAGCCCCAGCATTTTATTTAGAAATAGCTATTAATTATTTCTTCAAGCCATTTGTGTGCTATATGCTTATATTATGTAGCTGTCTCTAAATTTAGGGATTAGTAATATATGTGATGGGAACTTAAAAGCAAGGAAAGGTAATAAGGACTGTGACGTAGCTTAACAAGGGAAACTGATGAGCACTGGGGGAGATATATGAATGATTAGAAAGCTGTATTATGGGTCCGCACATCTCCCCACCCTCCTTCCTCGCCTATATTCATCACAGTGAGAAGTTTGCACACACCGGGTTTAGACTGCATGCAGACTAGTATTTATAAGTATATGAATGTATTTGGTCCATCAGCCTCTCTTTCTAAAAAGACAGGTAATTGACGGAAGTGTTTGTTTTTTACCTAAAGTAATAAAAAACACTTCAGTGCTCTTCAATCAGCATATGTAAGTAAGTGAATGTTCTCCATAATTGACCATCTGAAGCAGTTTGCTAACAAATTAAAGGTCATCCACACAATTTAAACTGCTTATCGAACAATTATCAGAAAAAAAAAATAATCTTCACACCGTAAACATAACAGATTGTCAAATTAATCATTAAATGCTGATGCTCAAATGAAAAAAAATATGTTTTAGGAATCTAGAATTGACCGAAGAGTACTATGATCTAACTGGGTATTCTGAGATTACAAATTTATAAAAAGCACACAAAGAATGACAGGGAGAATATAAATGTTAATCTTCTTTCACTGCCTATAAATAGTACTCTCACCGGTTCATTCATATAATACATATGTATATGGATGCCCGTAGATCTCATTTTTCAGCAAGTGTCTATATGTACACAGTAAGTTCAGTCCTAAGGGCATCCAATTTTCTGATGCAGTTACATATATAAATTGACCGGTTTTGGTGCAAATCAGGCTGCCTCTGAGCCGTGTAAGACACATAAGAAGCAAAGACAGACAAAAGGCAGCTCCATGGACACAGAGAGCGTCTTACCATAAACTGTACATTGTCAAATCCATTAGCCATCAGGTGGTTCTCGTACTGAGGTAGCCCAATGCTTTCCAACCATTGTCCCACTGTTTGGACGGGGCATCTGGGTCCTGTAAGAGGATGAAGAGGGAAGCGTTTAAGCAGGGAGTAGCCGTCCACTGGGTAATAGCGGTAGTCCTGGGCTGAGAGGTGGCATTGCCACATCATGCTCCTGGGAAAGTTGCTATCAAAGGAGCCCGCCAGCTTGACAGATTAATGTTCTCAGCGAGAGAGCAAAGTCAGAAGTAAAACATAGTTTGCCAGGCAGGCTGTGGAGTATGACTTGATCCTAGCTCCACATTTCTTACATATTAATCTTTACTACCGACCAGTACGTCATACAGCCCCCAAAACCAGGCAGCAGAAGAAGGCATATCAAGCTGTCAGCTTAGGCTGGTCTGCGTTCTATGTGATTGTTGGAGTACTCCACAATGAGCAATGCACGGCCAGCAGCCAGAATTCTTTTTATCAAGTACTCCTACACTCATCAGTATGCAGCTCCATGCTCCCTGCTCCCCCTCGCTCGCTCCCCTTCATTACCCAGCCCAGGCTACACCTCGCATTTTCAATAATAGCCATCAGATAAGGCAGATTTTTTTTTGTCTGCAAGCTGTAAGCCTGCTGCTGCTGCTTCCTCCTACACACCCATCCAAGCGTCAATCCTGAATGATGAGAGCAGTCAAAACAAATGCAGAAAATAGCAAGATTCAAAAGCAAACCAAAGTGCTTAAATCTCAATTGAATCTTCATACTGGTTATACGTTACAGGGCTATTTGTTGTGGAATTTTACGTTTCAAAAGACACCAGGAAATGTAAAGCTTTAACTATAGCTTATAGAGGAGCTCACTACAGGTTTCTTTTTTCCTCTCCTTTTCTTCTCTTTCCTTTCTTCTTTTCTAAATGCAACACAGATAAATGCTTCTGATGTAAAGCTTTACAGGGTTTTGAGAATAATTATTCTCTTTCTTTAACATGCTGTATCAAAATGAACCTCTGTGAGATATTTTTTTTTCCTTTCTGAATTACTGCAAAATACAGAAACTGCATCGCAATCTTGAAGTCAAGATAATTCATTTCTCATTTGCAGGGCTTATTCCAAACAAAAATATTATTAGGCACAAGAAATCCCTTTCCCCTCTGATATTTATAACCCAGTCTACCAGGGTTAGCATTCTAAATTAGCTATAAAGTTAACATTACTGGGTAGAGATTTTTAATAAAGAAGAAGAGCCCTAACCAAAAATAATTCAAGAATAACAGATGCGAATGTGTGAGTTTTACTGAATGGCAGACAGATTGAGTAATTTATTTAATAATTACAAGAAACCAGAGATTAATAATAGAACCCACAGGACCAGATCATAGGAAAGAATATATGTTCTTACTTAAGACTGGGAGAGAACTTGTGGAAGGGTTAGTATATAACCTCTCTTAAGGCAGAAATCCCTTGTCACAGAGTGCCCGGAAGATTATCATCCAATTTATGCTTGAATACTGCCTGGAACAGAGCTCTTACTACTTATCAGGAAGCCTCCACTTATTAGAGTTTTTACTTCCTACCTGGCGCCTACTCACTGGCTCCAGCTCTGCCTTTTGGGTTACTCAGACTGGGAACAGTGCCTTTTCTACATAAAATGTTTTAAAAATCAAACATAATTCTCATCTCCCCAGAAACAGTGTCTGGCACATAATAAGTGCTCAATAAATATTTATTTAATAAATTAAGCATTATTTTTCTTCTTTCCCTAAACCTTATCTTTCTTTTTTTAAGAACATTGTCAGCTTCCCTGGCACATAGACATCAAACTTCAAAACATCTTGTACTCCCTCTTTCACTGCTGACAGGCATTCTCGAGTTCTAGTTACCCCTCACCACTGTCTCTTGCATCCATTCCCTGGATTCTATTTCCTGTTTCATGTTTATGGAACTGCCATCTACTCTGATTCTGTTATCTTAGTTTAGGCCCATGTGGCCTAATGTAACAATAGCATCAAGGGGTGCCTTCATGGCTTAGTGGTTAAGGGACTGACTCTTGACTTCAGCTCAGGTCATGATCTCACAGTTCATGAGTTTGAGCCCCATGTTGGGCTCTGTATTGACAGAATGGAGCCTGCTTGGGATTCTCTCCATCTCCCTCTCTTTCTCCCTTTCCCCTGCTGTCTCTTTCTCTCAAAATAAGTAAATAAACTTAAAATATAAAATAAAACAAAAGCCTCTATGTTGGTCTTCTATCTCTGATATTTTAAAATCTATTTTATACATGGGTGTCAGACTAATCTCTCTAAGACAGTTTTAGTTATTATGCTTTGTTTCAAAACCCCCCCATGGTTTTCAGTGGGCTTCAAAATAAACTCACAGCTCCTATGATAACATTTGGGGATCTCCACAATCTACTACAAATCATCTGCATTTATTTACTTTTCTCCAGTACTCCAGTCAGGTAGGATCACTGGCTGGTCTCTAAAGGCAGCCTGTAACATACTTGGGTTGGTTTTGTTATGTCCCTACATTTTTTCCCGTTCATTGGTTTTGAATCAGATAACATTTCCTTTCTGAAATCTTTTATAATCCCTCCTAACAGGAATAACTCTCTTATTTATCTGTTTTAAGTGGCATTATTAAATCCTCTATTAGAACAAATATTTTCTGTGTAATATTGTAGTTATTTTGTACAAGACTTATTTCTCAATGTAGAGCTATGTCTCGCTAATAGTGCTTGAAGTAAGGACTCAGTATGCACCTGCTAAACCAAATAATATAATTTTTATGTCATAATCCAAACTACATAAAATTCTAGTTTCAGATTTAAAATTTCATTTAAAAATTCTATCCCAAGTCTCTGAATTCTTTTTTTTTTTTAATTTTTTAATGTTTATTTATTTTTGAGAGAGAGAGAGAGAGTGAGCAAGCAGGGGAGGGGCAGAAAGAGATGGAGACACAGAATCCAAAGCAGGCTCCAGGTTCTGAGCTGTCAGCACACAGCCCTAGATGGGGCTCGAACTCACAAACTGTGAGATTGTGACACAAGCCAAAGTCAGATGCTCAACTGACTGAGCCACTCAGGTGCTCCCTGAATTCTTTACTTAAAAAATAATAGGATTTTATTTAAAATTTTTTTTCATTTTATTTATTTTACAGAGAAAGAGAGAGAGAATTTTAAGCAGGCTCCACACTTACTGCAGAGCCCAGCATGGGGCTCAATCTCATGACCCTGATTATTATGACCTGAGCCGAAATTAAGAGCTGAATATTTAACCAACTGAGCCACCCAGGTACCCCAAGATGATAGGTTTTTAAATAGAATTTTTAGGTCTGGATTTTTAACATCCTCTTTCTCTTTTTTACTTGATTATAGTTTATTTCTGATTGGTTCTAGATCTTTTAAGGTCAAAAAGTTTGTTGCAGTTTGGGAATCAATTTTAGGGGATTTTGGCTGCTCAACATTACCTGTATGAGAAGTTGAAAACAAGACACTATTTGTCTTTCGCCATCTCAAAAACTGGTATGAGGTGGAATTAAAGGCAAATAAGAATTACAGCCTTTCCCAGGGTCACATGGTGACCATGGTCACATGGTTTCTCCTGATCATTTTGAATTATGAGCAAGTAGACAAACTACACAAAGATCGTGCGAATATAATAATGTTTTGGCTTAGTAAGGCAAATATTTATTGGCCAGCTCCTCAAATCCTATCTCATTTCTTAATCCCAGGGACCAAGAACCTAGAAGAGTGCCACACACACACAACCTAGGCATTAAATCAGTTCTGTTAAATAAACAAATCAATGACATTGGAAATGGCTTTCATAGGGTTTTCATTTCTAGAGAGAGAGAGAGAGAGAGAGAGAGAGAGAGAGAGAGATGCGAGAGTTACTTCAAGGTCCAGACTTCTGTACCAAAGCATAACTTGCTTGCATACAGGCCAATATCCTTGATGAATATAGATGCACTAACCCTCAACAAAACATCAGCTAAGTGAATTCAACAATATATTAAAAGGATCATTCACCACAATCAAGTGGGATTTATTCTGAGGACACAAGGATGGTTCAATATCCATAAACCAATCAACATGATATACCCCATTAATGAAATTAAGAATAAAAATCATATGATCATCTCAATAGATGCAGAAAAACCATTTGACAAAATACAATGTCTGTTCTTAAAAACTCTCAACAAAATGGGGTTAGAGGGAACACACTTCATCATAATAAAGGCCATGTATGACAAACCCACAGCTAAAGTCATACTCAATTGTGAAAAACTGAGAGCGTTTCCCCTAAGATCAGGAACAAGACCAGGATGTCCACTCTCGCCACTTTATTTAACCCAGTACTGAAAGTCATAGTCACATCAGTCAGAAAGAAAAGAAACAAAGGCATCCAAATTGGTAAGGAAGAAGTAAAACTGTCATTATTTGCAGATGACATTGATATTATACATAGAAAAACCTTAACAATTCCACCAAAAAACTATTAGTAGTAATAAATGAATTCAGTAAAGTTGCATGATAAAAAATTAATACCCAGAAATTGGTAGCATTTCTATACACTAATAACAAAGTAGCAGAAAGAGAAATTAAGAAAGCAATTCCATTTACAATTGCACCAAAAAGAATAAAATATCTAGGAATAAAGTTAACCAAGGAAGTAAAAGATCTACACTTTGAAAACTATAAAACATAGATGAAAGAAATTGAAGATGACACAAACAAATGTAAAGATATTCCATGTTCATGGGTTGGAAGAATTAATATTGTTAAAAGGTCCACACTATCCAAAGCAATCTATAGATTTAATGTAATCCCTATCAAAAGACTAATGACATTTTTCACAGAACTAGAACAAATAATACAAAAATATGTATGGAGCCACAAAACACCTGAATAGCCAAAGCAGTCTTGAGAAAGAAGAACAAAGCTGGAAGTATCACAATCCTAGATTTCAAGATATGTTACAAAACCATAATAATCAAAACAGTACTGGCACAATAATAGCCACAGATCATGGAACAGATAGAAAGCTCAGAAATAAAGTCACAATTATATTGTCAATTAATCCACAACA